ATGACGTCACATGGTATGGCATGTCCCTTTGGCCAGTTTGGCTGTGCCCCCTCCCAGCTTCTTGTGCACCTCCAGCCTTCTCAGTCGGTAGAGCATGGGAAGCTGAAAAGTCCTTGGCTAGTGTAAGCGCATTACCTAAACAACTAAAACATCGGTGCGTTATCAACTTTGTTCTCATCCTAAATCCAAAACACTGTACCAGCTACTAGGAAGGAAATTAACTCTATCCCTACCGAAACCAGGACACCATCAGAAATAGGGCCTGAGGGTCATAAGATAGCTTGGGTTGGAAGGGACCTCAGTAGGTTTGTAGTCCAACCTGCCAGAAACAGGGTCAGACCAGGCTGTTCAAGAATTGATCCAGTCAAATTTTGAAAACCTCCAAGGAGAGAGACTGCACAGCCTCTGGGTGACCTGTACCAATGCTTGGCTGAGCAATTTTCTCCTTATGTCCAGGATGAACTTCTTTTTCATCTTCCACATGTTGTCTTTTATCTTCCCAACATGCACCATGGTGAAGGGCCTGGCTCTTCATAACCTCCTCACAGGTATTGGCAGGCTGTGATGAGGTCCCCCTCAGCCTTTCCTTCTCCAAACTGGACAAGCTCAGCTCCCTCAGACTCTCCTCACAGACCAGGTGCTCCAGCCCTCTACCATCTTGGGCCCTTCACTGAACCCTCTCCATCTTGCTGACATCTTTCCTGTACTGGGGATCTGAAATCTGGATGCAGTAACCTGGATAATCCCCTCCCTCAATCTCCTGGCTGTGCCCCTGGTCATACAGCCCAGGATGTTGTTGGTCTCCCTTGTTGCCAGGGCACATGACTGCCTCCTGTCCAGCTTGCTGCCCAACAAGACCCTTCCATAGGATGCCCCCATCCTGTGACATTTCCAGGCTTAGTCCCCTGTGGGGGCAGAAGCTAGCAATTGTATTTGTTGGATTTCATGAAGTTCCTGCCAATACAGTGTCCTCCTCCTTGAACACTTTCACTGAGCACAGAGGCCCGGAGACCTTTTCAGTAAAGGCTCAGGCAAAGCATGCATTGAGTCAGCCCCATCTGTGTCTGCTGTTATTAAATCACCCTCCTCATTCAGCAACAGCCCTACATTTTCCTTGTTCAGCTTTGGTCTCTAACAAGTGATCGAAGCTCTTCTTTTTGCTCTTGACTTTCCTTGCAGACACCAACTCCAGGTGAGCTTTGGCTTTCCCAAAATCATACCTGCACAGCAATGGCAATGCATATAGATTCCTTGTATATACCTGTCCTTGTTGTAACCTCCTGGCAGCTGCTTCATGGCCCCTGACAGTGCCCTGTCCCTGCCGCACTGCCCCAGATATCATCCTACGGCCCCATTGCGCAGGCACAGCATGGAAGAGGCTGTGTTCAGGAGTGTGGAAAGGTCCTCCCCATTACAATACCAATGACAGTCCTCAGTTCCCTATCCCCCCATAACCATCCTACTTTTGCAACTTTCCTCAGTGACCAGGCCCTGCCCTGCCCTGGCTCTGTCCCACATGAGTCTTCGCAGACAGCCCTGTTCCATGGTCTGCTGTGGTCGGGGCCAAGATAGAGGCTGGGCGTGTCTGGACATTCTCCTGATACAGGTGCTGAACCCAGCAGGAGGATGGAGATGGCTTCACAGCAAGACTCACCCAAAAACCTGGGGTGAGTGAACACAGATAGAAATTGCTAGTATGAGAGGCTGGAGGTGACAAATGCCCTGGGCCAACTTCCCAATCTATCCATGTGTCCAAGGGCACAGACTGGCCTCCTCTCTTCTGCACCTGCATATCTCAGCTCCCTTCCATGAACCCTGGCTCTGCACCACAAACCCACTGGTGCATGTCCTCACCCTGCATGGTCACACAATTCAGCTACCTTTGGTGTTTTCCTCTCCTGAGCACTTTCCAGGCCAGCCCAGCCCCTGCCTGGCTCTCGCCACCTCCCCTGCCCTCTCCCCAGCCTAGCACAGCAGCGCAGTCTGGTCTGGCCCCATGGCAGTGCCCACTGCAAGGTGCTGCAGAACTCCAGACATTCACACCAGAGCCCCAGCCCCTCTGAAGGGCACAGCAGCTCCTGGGGGAAAGAGAGGGGTGTCATTCCCACATCAGCCCCAGACTAGGGGATGGCCATGATATGAGGATACGGAGGCCAGTGTCTCCCTGTGTCTCCTGCCTCCAAGAGATCCTTATTGCCCACTGCTGGGAGCTCCTCTGTGGCAGCATAAGACTCCTGGCCTTGGGGCTCCTAAGGCTGCTTATACTGCCCCAGCAACAGAGCAGCCTGCCCCAAGCCAGTGCATGCAGAAATAGGTTTCTCTTTGTCATTTATTTCCTTGTAGAAGCACAGAGTTGTTCCTATGCTCTTCCCCAGGGTCGTCCCTGCCACCAGAGCCTCTCTTGCTGGCCTCTCTTGCCCCCTCCTTGTTATCACTGCAGGGCCCCATGCTGACAGTATTGCTTGCCAGAGCGAGCAGGCTGTGGTGCCTGAAAGCCACAGGGAGACAGTCCTAGGCAGATCCCTTTTGATCATTCACGATCTCGATGGGGACTGGGCACCCACATGTGAAAATTCAGTCCAGGCCTCCATCCGTAACACATCACCCACTGCCCTCCTCTCCTGAGCCCATGGAGAACCCAAGCACAGCAGCACAGCCTCGTGGGGGACAATTTCTTCAGCCTTTTTTTCACTTCAGCTTTGGAAGAAGAGCCCAACCTCCAGACACCAGCACTGACAAAATCCCCTTTTATTACAGGGTTGTGACATGGGAGACCAGCTGTACCATCGCGCCAGAGGTGTACAAGGGCCTCTGTGTCAGGCCAACTCAGTTCATGCCTCTGGAGAAGTGCAGTGAATGTAGAAATTCCTGGAAAACCAGGATTATTACAGATAAAATGCGAAAAGCACAGGAGGTTTCTAACATAAGTTTGAAATCACTTCAGAAGAGACATGGGCAGCTTATTGCTGCTGAAAGACAACTGATTGAAACAGCTTCTTCAGTGCATCTTTGAGCTCCTGGTTCCTCATGCTGTAGATGAGGGGGTTCACTGCTGGAGGCACCACTGAGTACAGGACTGCCATCAGCAGATCCATGGATGGGGAGGAGATGGAAGGGGGCTTCAGGTAGGCAAACAGGCCAGAGCTGATAAACACGGAGACGACAGCCAAGTGAGGGAGGCACGTGGAAAAGGCTTTGTGCCGTCCCTGCTCAGAGGGGACCCTCAGCACAGCCCTGAAGATCTGCAAGTAGGACAGCACGATGAAAACAAAACACCCTAAAGCTACAGAAAGACTAACCACAAGAAGCCCAACTTCCCTGAGGTAGGAGTCTGAGCAGGAGAGCTTGAGGATCTGGGGGATTTCACAGAAGAACTGGTCCAGGGCATTGCCTCGGCAGAGTGGGAGTGAAAATG